GGATTTTGAAAGGTGGGAAGGAAGGTGGAGGGCTGGATTTGAGGAGAGAGGATTGTGTGTGTGGCTGCAAGGTGCTTGAGAAAGCCTTCTAGACTCTAGAGCTGCACTAATAAAGTAGTAGTCACTTGCTTTGTGTGTGGCAGTTTAATTAAAATCTAAATCAGTTTTTTTTATATTTTATTTATTGATAGAGACGGCAGGATAGAGAGAAGAGAAACATCGATTTGTTGTTCCATGTATTTATGCATTTATTGGTTGATTCTTATATGTGCCCTGGCTGGGGATTGAACCCTCAATCTCGGTGTATTGGGATGATGCTCTAACCAACTGAGCTACGCATCCAGGGCAAAGTGGAATACAACTGAAATTCAGTTTCTCATTAGCACTAGCCACGTTTTATTTTTATTTTTTGGTTAATCTTTACCTGAGGTTATTTTTCCATTGGTTTTTAGATAGAGTGGACGGGAGGGAGGGACAGGGGTTGAGAGAGAAAGAGAAACATCAATTGGCTGCCTCCTGTACGACCCTGGCTGGGGCTGGGGATGAACCCTTCGGTCCACTGTCCACAGGCTGACGCTGCAACCACTGAGCCAACTAGGCCAGGGCCCTAGCCACATTTTAAATGCTTAGTAGTTACATATGGCTGGTGGCTGCTATATTCAGCAACACAGACAGACCATTTCCATGTTGCAGAAAGTTCTTTTTGACTACACTGCTGTATAGCATTTGAGCGTTGTCTAGGAGTAATACTTTGTATAGAGGGTGATGTGTCAATGTTGCCAGAACTGGCCCTTCCTTCCTGTTCTCTACAAGTGGTCAAATGAAATACAGTGTTGAAATTGGTGCTGAAGTTCTTGACAGTCTTTCATGTCAAGTGTTGGGAATTCACTGGATCTTCTCTCTCTCTTTTGCTTACAGTGTTGGAGAGCTGGCTGGACTACACTGGGGAACTGGAGCCCCCGCAGCCACTGGCCAGGCTTCCGCAGCTCAAGCATTGCATTAAGCAACTGCTGACGGACCTGGGCAAGGTGCAGCAGATTGCGCTGTGCTGCTCAACATGAAACTGGGCACCCAAAACAAATGGGGGCACAATTCGGGGGCGCTTGCAGGAGGAACTTTGCATTTTAAAATAAATAAACCTAGCATGCCGAATGCACGTGACACCGACTGACTTCAGGGATCTGGGCAGATGGGGTGTGATGGACATTGGACAAAGAGGCCATTTTGGCTGCTGGAGGGCAGGGCACTCTGATCTCAGAGCCTACCAAGAAGGTAGCAAATAGACTCTTGGGATTCCCTTTTGTGCACGTCGTTGGATGGCGAGTGAGTCTTTTTGCACAAACTTCACTTGAAATCGTGCCACTGATGATAAATGGAATGAGAGCCAAAAAAGTTTCATTGGAAACAGTTGTAGATTCAACTTGCAGCTTATTTAATTGACTTTTCTGTCAGGTTGGGGCACATGCCAAGCCTCTGGTTTCTGCCTGGCATGGATTTAGGCAGCAGGTATCATTTTCATTTTTCCGGCTTCATGGGAATGTCATGACTTCACCATTCTGTGGAGATTGGGGAGAAGCAGAGGCCTTGGCTGCCCTGCCTTCTTCGTAGGACTCCACTTTTCTCACTACATCTCTTGCATGACTTCATGGTACTGGGGACAGATTTTGTATGCTTTCACCCCAGAGTTGGCTGGGTTGTGTGTTGTATAGCAGAGCCCATACAGCCTGTGGAGGAACTAGAATCTCACTGTTCTAGGAATCTAGGAGGAATTCCAAACTGAAGCAGGCAGGGTCTGGAACCCAAAGGACAGCATTTTCTATCCACTTAATATTGACAGCTTCCCAGTTCTATTTAATGTCCAAAAGTGTTTCCCAAAATTTTGAACTCTTTCACTGTAAAGATTTGTTACAAAGAATGTGGTTTGAGGAATTACCTTATTTTATATTGTTGTAAACAAATCTCAGATTCTACATGTGCCGCTTTCCTCCTTCCCTGAAGGGTATATGTTCAGTAATGGCATTTTCAGAATTGTTTTAATATACTTTAACACGTTAAATTTCCTGTTTGTATTATTTTGTGAGATCAAGGTGATAATGCTGCTTAAGGTCCAGGTATAGTTTGTACCTTTTGAGACAATATTTGTTACTCTTGCAGGTTACGGTTCCACATGTAATTGTTATATTGTTATTTTTCCTTACTAGGCAAAGTTAAAGAAAATGTTCCATGTTTTGAGGAGTGACCTGTTTCACCATTTAGTTTTCTTATCACTAAAGGCAAAAAGCAAAGCACAGTTGTCCATTAACACTCACAAGTTAATTATGGGTTTATGAATCTGTAATGTTATATGCTGAAATATTTACTATGTAAACGTGAAGTAGCCAATATCTCAATAGCAATGACAGTATATCCAGCAATCTGTAGAATGGTTAGGCTTTAAGGCTCAGGTCATTGTGGTCATGAAGGCCTCTGTACTAAGATCTGTTTTAGGGAATGCTGTCCAGTGATTTGTTCACCATGTGATATAAAATAAACTTAGGACAAGTTGACCTGCTGTAGCTTATCCATCAGAAGGAATACATGTAGCTATGACATCTGTAATAAAGCTGACACAATTCCTCTACAAGAGGCTGTTTCCCGTTGCTAATGTTGGTGTTTCTGGTATAGGAAGAAACGCTCCAGGAGTGTGCATGGCATCTATGTTTTGCATAATTTATCAGACAGCGACATTATAAGAACGGTGTGATGCTTGTCTGAAAAGGGAAGAAACAGGATGGTTTTCTGTAGCCACAACTGTGAGGTATGATGATTTGTATTACTGAATTACTGATTTTTTTCTCTTTAAATTTGAGCATCACATTTGGGGAAGCTGTAACTTTAAGGTAGTTAATCTCATGTGTTTTTCAAAGATGGAATCAGAAACTAACTGAACTACCCTAATTTTGTCCATTAATTGGCGTATTAAGTTCTGTAAAGAAAATTCATTTCACTCATTGTGACTTTTGTCCTTAGGGAAGCAGGGATGACTCCAAGTTCTGGTAACCTCAGTGTGCTTCCCTGATTTAAAGCCATTTTGAGGGGCTCCATCCTCATTCCTGGGTCAAGCTGAATAAACCCCAAGTTGGAGCACTGGAAACTGTTATTTGCAAATATTACTGTTACCATTTAGAAATATTTACACTACCTAAGTTTTATTTTGAGTAAACTATCCACCTTTAAAAAAAAATTGCCTTGACAAACAGTTCCGGTTTGACTAATCATTTTGTTTCTTTAAGTGATAAGAGTATATGCAAGGTGGACCCTTGATGAGCCAACATTGCACTGTGGATACATATCTATGTTTACGCGCTATTAGAACAGAAGGCGCTGTATATAGAGATGTTGCTTTGAAGCAATATTTGCAAAACATGCAAACTTCTGTATCTGTATTTGGAAAAAATAAAACAGGTTTTTGTTGCTATGTTTGTCATGTTATTGAATTAAATTATTAATATGCATTATTTAACTTTCTATAAACATTATTATTAATCCTCATGCGAGATTATTTTTCCATTGGTTTTTAGAGTGGAAGGGAGGGAAGAAGGGAGAGAGGAACAATGATTGGTTGCCTCCTGCATGACCCCTACTGGGCCCGGGATTGGAACCTACTGCCCAGGTACATGCCCTTGATCAGGAATCAAAACTGGCAACATTATCCCCACCCCCACCCCAGGTCCTCCAGTGGAGGCTCTAATGGCAGAGCCAAACCAGCCAGGACTATAAATAAACATCTTTTAAAGGAAGTCAGCTTTTATATTCTAAACAGATTTAACTTCTGCAGGGAAGGAGATAGATACAAGTTCAAGATCCTAAATCCCAAGAAAGTATGCAACACTTCTGAATTCATTTAAGTGTCTGTAATGTTCAAAAGTAAAATGCCCCACACCAGCCTCTGGCCCAGGTTTAGCTCATGCTATGTGGTGTGAACTTAAGCTTATCGGATTTTGATTATTGAAAGAAGTGCAAGGAAGACAACTTTGGCCTTCCTGACAAGAGGTGGCACCTACTACTGCATTTAGGATCCTTCTGAGACCAATCCAAACTGCCTGTGGACCCCAATTAGCTCCTTTCTGGTGGGGTTGAAGACTTAAGGAACAGAGTAGGCTTTTAGATTTCACAGAAGAGCTCCCCTAATCCCAAATCCCTTTCTAAACAATTATGCTTATTTTAATATAAATGGGCCCTGGCCGGTTTGGCTCAGCGTTGGCCTGCGGTCCAGAGAGACCCGGGTTCGGTTCCCGCTAAGGGCACGTACCTCCGTTGCAGTTTGTCCCCGGCCTTGGTTGGGTCGTGCGGGAGGCAGCCACTCGATGTGTCTCTTTCACGTCCATGTTTCTCTGTCTCTTCCTCTCTCTCCCTCCCACTCTATCTGAACAAAAAATGGAAAAGTGTCCTCCGGTGAGGATAAAAATAAGTAAGTAAATAAATAAATGGGAGGTGGTTGAAGAGAAAATGTATAGCTCCAGCAATATAAAAGATCACACTAGTTCTGCTTAAATCCTTCTAGAGGCCTAAAATTTGGCAAGGAAGGTGTCTGGAGGCTTAAACCAGAGCTAACAAGAACTGGCCTATCTCTATATAAAGACCTGCTCTGAAACATTAAAATAGCCCTGTAGTTTGGACCTTTTGGGAATCTGTGCCCATAGAGCAGGCTACTGGAGCAAGTTGGTAGCAGTGTTGGTCCAGAGGTAGCCAGGTAAGCAATCATTTAATAGAGCCAGCTGTTAGCCTGTTCAATGCCACAACCTACCTAACAAGGCAAGATGTGTCACTATTTTCTCAGGAAAACAAGCTCAGATTCCAGCTAGAGAGAGGTAGGGGGGAATATGGAGCCCTGAGGCTCTACCGAAACAAAGGACGCCCAAGCGGGGTCCTGGGAAGCGTGCAGAAAAATGTCCCAGATGTGGCGAATGCTCAGGCCTAGCCAACACGTAATGATCCCACAAAAGCCAACGAAGGCCAAATGAAGAGGAAACAAAGGCTTTATTCTCATGGGCACTCAACTTGGATTTACCACTAGCCAGAAACAAAGTTGGAAATAAGCTCGAGAAATAAACCCAGTAAAGAACAAAAGGGCCACATCGGACTACAGAGGCTGCCAAATTCGTTTTTCATTAATGTGGAGTGGAGAGCGAGGCTTAGGCCCCAGGACCCGATCAAGGCTCCAGTCCAGAGAGCGCCCTGACCAGGCCGCCCGCCGTTCAGCCGGTGATGCGAACATCGGTGCGGCGGCGAAGCCTCGCACCGCCACGGGCCCGCACCGCCTCGGGCAAGATGGCGAGCAGCTGCTCTTGCACCAGCATCTCTACGATCTGCTCCTTCGTGCGGATGTCGGGTCGCAGCCACTGGCGAGAGAGCTCTCGTAGCTGCCGGAACGCCTCTCGTGGGCCTGCCGCGTCTCGGTAGCGGAACTGTCGGAAACGCTGGCGGAACGTCTCCGGGCCGGGCCGGGAGCCGCCAAGGCCTGAGGAGCGCGGAGTGGCTTCAGCAGGCGGCACGGACCCCGGGGGTGCGGGCCCGACAGGCAGCTCCAGGGCCGCGGAGGCAGCCGTGGGAAGCGGCAGAATCGCTTCGGGGGCAGCGGCGATGGGGCTGGAGGGTTCAAGTGGTGGTGCCTCAGGAGTCGAAGAGGAGCCCTCAGAGTTACGCTCCGGGCCTGAGCTGAAGCCGGCTCCTTCCTCTTTATCCGAAGGCGGCGCGGAGCTCACCGTGGCCGCCACGCCCGGATCGGTCGCTTCCATGACTCCGGCTCTGGGCGTCCGACGGCTGCGGGCACAGCACTACGTCTGCGGGGCGGAGTAGGAAAGGGGACGTTTACCGCTAAAGGGTAGAGCCTGCGCTACCCGGAAGCAAGCGGCCGCTGGCACGAAGGAGAGCGCACCGAAATCACCCACAGCAGCGAAGCGCTCGAATGGACGGACGGACGAAAGCGGAAGATTCCGCCAGCGTCTCTATGATGAGCTCCGCGCACGATCGCCCGGAAGCCGTGTCCGGGTGGCAGAAAGCGGCGCCCCCTAGCGTTGGCGAGTCGCGTCATCAGGCGGCGGCGACTGCGGCGTCGCGGGCCAATCTAAGTGTGCAGTGGCTTCATTGGGATGCTGGTGCCTCCAAGCACCGGTTCGAGCAGCAGTCCGAGTTGGTGGATGGGGAGGCATCGGAGGAAGGGCTGGAGGCGGAGGCGGAGCCGGAGCCCCGAGGGGTTCTTACCCGCCCTCATCTCTTCCGCTCGCAGGTGACCAGCGCCAGCCCCTGTGGGCGCATCTGCTCACTTGACCCTGATGAGGACGGTGGCGAGTGGTGGGCTCGAGGAGGCTGGCTCCCGACCGGTAGCCAGAGCGGGACAACGGAGGGCGGTCGGGCACTGAGGGAGGGCTCACTCCAGAAAGTTCTCTTCGTCCGTCAAGAGGAGGGCATCCCTTATTGCAAGGAAGACGATATAACGTGTGTGAGATCCTCAACAAACAGCAAAACCTGCCCTTCCGGTGTCACAGAGGAAATGCTCAAGAACTTTTTGCCATTATTATTTCTTCTTTTTGTGTTGATCCTCCCCCCTGGACATTTTTTCCATTAATTCTTGTTTTTAGAGAGAGTGGAAGGGAGGGAGGGAGAGAGAGAGAGTGATAGAAACATCAATGTGAGATAGACACGTCGATTGGTTGCCTCCTGCAGGAACCCAGCCAGGGCGGGGATAGAATCTGCAAACCTTCGTTCATGGACCAATGCTCTAACCATTGCTCACCAGCCAGGGCCATTATTATTTCTGCGTATCCTCTGAAACCAAGGGACAGGTGGCTCTGTGGGTTGGGCTTTTTACTTCAGCGTTAGTAAATACACTAAACGTACTGCTCCATATGGTGGTCACTAGCCACGTGTGGTTACTGAGCCCTGGGAAGGTGGCTAGCTGGAATTGAGATAACTTATACTCGAAAATATATAGGGGACTTAGTATGAAAAAAATAATGCAAAATATCTCAATAATTTTTCATAGTGATTACATGCTGGAATGATAATATCTTGCATATATTGGGTCAAATAAAATGTATTATTAAAATTAATTTCACTTGTATCATATTACTTTTTAAATGTGGCTACTAGAAAGTTTTAAATTACATAGATGGTTTACATTATTATTATTTTATTGAATAGGGCGGTGCTAGGGTAAGCTGCCTTGGTGGAATGCCCAATGCAAGGTTTATTTGCATTTGGCTAGAGTTGTTGAGAGGATTAAACCAGTAAAGCCCTTGGAAAGAAAGGGCTTTTCCAAATATTTGCTGTTGTCTTCATTAGGTAGTTTGCTATCTCTGAGCTACAGTTTTCTTATTTGTAAAATGTGGATGTAATAGAATTTATCTCATAGAAGTTATTATGAGAATTCAGTGAGATGATGCAGGCAAAAGCATGTAGCTCTGACAGCCCTTCAGTGAATGACAATGTTCTATTTGACAGTTGACTCACAAACATAGTATTTTGTATCCCTATTTTATGGATAGAGAAATTAAAGCCCAGGGAGAGAAAGGGGCCCCATATGAAAGGTTTTGTATGACCCTTGCAATCTCTTTGAGCTCTGTGCAGAATGAGTGGGCCTGTTTAACAACCATCAACCTTCCACAGGCCCTGATATAAAACTTGCCCCCTCCCCCCCATTAGGATGTGCTCTCTTCACAGAACATTTTCCAGAGCCTGAAAATCTTGAAGGTCATCACAATGGGTCTTTAATGTTTTGTAGTTACTGCCATGTAAATATTGGGAGATTTCACATACAATCTGGATTTCCAGGTCTTCTTGAAAGAGTGAAGGAGCCATCCACATTGGTCCCACCCTCATTCCTGCCAGTCAGCAATCAGCTGGAGCTGAGTCCAGTCTTTTTCCTTTAGACAAGATACTCCATCTCAGTTGGTCTTAATCCCCACCACTCCCTATTATTCTCTGAAGTAGAATGTGGTTTGCATTTACTGTTGCTCTCAGGTTGTTTTCCTTAGAGCTGGTATTTTTCTCTCTTTTCTTTTCAGAGGTGGGAAAACAGGGGCCCAGAGTTTGTTTTACTTACCAGCTTCAAATCTTTATTTCCTCTCCCTGGCCCCTTGGCAGTTGGGTTTGCTACCCTGAGTGAACCGAAAGTCCTATTGCCTGTGTGGTAACAGGCCGTCAGTGTCCAGAACTAAAGGAGCACACTAAACCCTGCTGCAAGGACCAGAGGTCATGGAAGGCTTCACTGGGGAGAGAACCTTAAGCTGAGACTCAAGAAGAAGAAGGATGGAGTTGGGCACTCCAGGTAGAAGGTACTGCCTGTACCAAGGCACAGAGTGAATGCGAGCAAACCTTTGTGGAAACTGCAGGCTAGACGGGGGTTGGAGGAGGTAGTGAGAGCTGAGGTAGAAAGGTCAATTGGAGGTTAAATAAAAAAGAACCTAGAATTCCATGTTGAAAAATTGAACCCTTCTATTCTTGGGAAAGGGAATGAACTCTTGTGACATTTGGAATCACGGAATGTTAGATCTCCAGTTCATTTCTTTCTTTTTTTTTTTTTTTTTAATCCTCACCCGAGGACATTTTCCCACTTTTTGCACAGATAGAGTGGGAGGGAGAGAGAGGAAGAGAGAGAGAGAGGGAAACATCGATGTGAAAGGGACACATCGAGTGGCTGCCACCCGCACGACCAACCAGGGCCGGGGACAAACTGCAACCGAGGTACATGCCCTTAGCGGGAACCGAACCCGGGTCTCTCCGGACCGCAGGCGGATGCTCTAACCGCTGAGCCAAACCGGCCAGGGCTCCAGTTCATTTCTTTCATCTCTATTGCAATCATAGAATATTAGAGCTGGAAGGAGAGATCTCAGAGATCTATTAGAATCATGGAATGTTAGAATGGATTCATTTATTCTAAACTCTTAATGGGTCAGTAAGGCCCCAGAATCTGAAAAAAATATACTTCTTCCTGGAAGAGTGATCGATCCACTTACATACTTTGCATACTGTAATTTCCAGATATCCTTGAACCCACTCAGAGGCTGACTAATATTTTATTGTGTGTAACATCAAATTTTGTTTGTTTGTTTGTTTATTTATTGTTATCCTCACTTGAGGACATTTTTTTTTTCCCATTTATCTTCAGATAGAGCGGGAAGAAGAGAGAGAGAGAAACATTGATGTGAGAGAGACACATCGACTGGTTGCCACCCGCACAACCCCCACTGGGGCCGGGGACGAACTGCAACCGAGGTAGGTGCCCTTAGCAGGAACCGAACCCAGGACTCCCCAGTCTTCAGGCCGACACTCTAACCCCTGAACCAAACTGGCCAGGGCTCCATTCATTTATTGATGGACATTTGGGCTGTTTCCATTTTCTGGCTATCAAGAATAATGCTGGTGCCCTGGCAAGTTTGGCTCAATGGTAGAGCATTAGCCTGCAGACCAATGAGTTCAAGTTCAATTCTGGTCAAGGGCACCTACCTCAGTTGTGGTTCGTCCCTGGCCCTGGTTGGTGGGGAGTGGGGTTGGGCAGCCAGTTGCTGTTTCTCTCTCTCCCTTTCTCTCCCTCTCCCTCCCTCCCACTCTATCTGAAGATAAATAGGAAAATATCTGTAGGTGAGGATTAAAAAAAAATAAGAAGAAGAATGCTGGTATGATCACTGATATACAGATTTCTTTTGGATGTATACCCAGAAGTGGAATTGCTGGATCATGTGCTAATTCGATGTTTACTTTCTTGAGAAGCCACATACTGTTTTCCACAGCAGCTCCACCATTTTACATTCCTATCAGCAATGCACAAAGCTTCTAATTTTTCTACATCCTCTCCAACACTTGCTCCTTTGCATTATTTTTTAATGTGAGATATTAAATAGGAAGTTCTAAGATGCTACCAGTGGACAAGAAATTCAGATTTTCTACAGATTTGCTAATCCCGTCATTTCATGTACCACACAGTACATACATCATTCCAGGGGGCCAGCCGTGCTCATGGTGAAGAGAAGCAGGTTCAGCTAATGAGGTAGCTTGGACAAAAAGCCTCCATTTTCTGCATTTTTAAAAAATCCTTACCTGAGGATATTTTTTCATTGATTTTCAGATAGAGTGGGAGGGAGGGAGGGAGGAAGGGAGAGAAAAACATTGATGTAAGAGAGAGACCTCGATTGGTTGCCTCCTATACAACCCCAATGGGGGCCAGGGTTAACTTCTTTTTGGTAACCTATTTTATCAAATGTCTTTTTTTCTTGGAGATCTGTTTTCTGATGTTTTGATGAGCTTCAGATAATTGGTCTAGGGTGATTAATCTAGCTGGACTGTGTTTGTAATTAACTTACTTATTAGTAATTCTCATTCCTGATAAACTAGTGTAAATTCAGAAGCCTAGATACTTCATAATCCTTTTGCCTTTCTCTCCTTTCATTGATTTCTATTCAGTGGCAATTCTGCTAGTTCCCAGTGTTCAATTAATCTGTTTTTGTGTAGCACTCTACCAGTAGCTCTGCATTCCTTATTGCATTGCACTGATTTTGTTTATTATTTAAAAAATTGATTCATTTTCTGAATAGGTGATAATATATACCTACTATAAAATTAAAAAGTCAAAAAAGAGTAATTGTTATACTTTTTTTTCATCCTTTTCTATCCAGCCTTGATTATTATTGTTAGTTCCCTTTATATCTTCCCTTATCAGGTTTAAAAGGTATCTTAAGATTTACAGTTCTTTTTTAAAAAATATGTTTTTATTGATTTGAGAGAGAGGAGAGAGAGAGAAACACCGATGTGAAAAACATCGGTCGGCTGCCTCCCACATGCATCCCAGTAGGGATCCAGCCTGCAATGTGGGCATGTGCCCTGGCCAGGAATCAAACCTGCTATATATCAGTGCATAGGACACTGCTCCAACCAACTGAGCCATGCTGGCCAGGGCAAGATTTACAGTTCTTAGAAGTTCTTATCACAAGAAAAATATTCAACTATGTGAGGTGATGGATGTTAACCAAATTTATCATGGCACTCATTTTACAGTATATATGTATAGCAAATCATTATGTTGCACACCTTAAATTAATACAATTACATTTCAATAAAACCAGGAAAAAAAAAAGATTTATAGCTATAAAATTTCAAGAAACCCATGTAGTTATGCTACCTCACATACCTCTATTATCTATGGACTTGTTAGCTATATTATTTTCTGGTTCCTTTTTAATTGTTCGTTTTCAACTCTTTCACTTGTTTTTTGCAATCCTATGCTCTGTATTCAACAAGGCTAGCTTCCTTTTTGATGTTTCAGAAATGACCTTCACTTCTGAGATGTTTTTTTAAAAAAACACTTGTTTCATGCCCTGGCCGGTTTGGCTCAACGGTTAGAGTGTCGGCCTGCAGTCCAGAGAGACCCAGGTTTGGTTCCTGCTAAGGGCACGTACTTCGGTTGCAGTTTGTCCCCGGCCCTAGTTGGGTCGTGCGGGTGGCAACCACTCGATGTGTCCCTTTCACGTCGATGTTTCTCTCTTTCTCTTCCTCTCTCTCCCTCCCACTCTATCTGAACAAAAAATGGAAAAAATGTCCTTAGGTGAGGATAAAAAAAAAATTTTTTTAAACATTTCTTTCCTGAGCTCTGCCAATGTCATTTCCTCCAGTTGTCTCCTCATCTCTTCTTTGAACAGTGGCATCTTTGCTTTGATCTCTTGTTTTAAAATTCAGTCTGCCCTCTGAGTTCTTTGTTGTTCATAATTGTGTTTCACGTTAATTTTTTGTCTGGTGAGTGCCTTTCATATGCCTTTTGTTTTTCTTGTTCTCTGCCACCCTCTCCCACTTTTGGAGTAGTATATTTATATAGGTCTGGTGCTATTTATTTTTTACTATAACTCCCCTTTAAATGAAGGGAACCCATTCCCCAATTAAAGATAAGCAAGTTAAGGGTTTTTTTTGTTTTTTGTTTTTTTAAGAGTGGGAGGAAGGGAGAGAGAGAAAGAGAAACATTGATGTGAGAAAGACACATCAATTGGTTTTCCCCCACAGGACCCCAGCCAGGGCTGAGGACTGAGGACAAACTGCAACTGAGGTACATGCCCTTGACCAAAACTGAACCCGCAACCCTTTGGTCTTTGGGCTGATACTCTAACCGCTGAGCAAAACCAGCCAGGGCAGTAAGTTAAGTTTTTTAAAAAAATGTTTTATTTGATTTTTGAGAGAGAGAAACATCAGTTTGTTGTTCCACCTATCTGTGCATTCATTGCTTGAATCTTGTATGTGCCCTGACTGGGAATTGAACCCACAATCTTGATGTATCAGGATGATTCTCTAACTGACTGAGTTATTCAGTCAGGGTCCTGCAAGTTAAGTTTTAATAATATTTTTTTTTCTTTTTCTTTTTTTGGTACGTGCCCCTAGTGGGAACCAAACCCAGACTCTCTGGTCTGCAGGCTGACACTACAACCGCTGAACCAAACCGGCCAGGGCAAGTTTTAATACTATTTTAACCAAAACATCATGCGGGTCAAATTAAGTAGTCTCAAAATCTGTTTGGCCCAGGGGAGCCAGTTTTCAGCCTCTGCCCAGCCCAACCTCACTTTGGGCCATGCCCCCTGGGCATCTCTCAGTCAGCCACATCTCATGCTCCCAGAACAGGCCCTGCTCTTTCTTCATATATGTTTATAACTTTATTATAGTGAGACTTTGTCTTATGGTGGTGGTAGCATTTTTCTTCTCTGTCATATGGTGAACTTCTTGTGAGCAGAGACCATGTCTTATTCACCTTTCTCTCCTTTATACATAGTTAGAACTCTATAAATGTTTGTTACGTGATTTTTTTAATTAGCAAAACAGTAATTTTATCTTAAGAAATTATTTGTGGAATTAACTATAACTCGATTTTATAAGGAAGAAAATGAGGCACCACCTGGATAAGTGATTTACCTAAGATCACATAAGAATAGGACCACATTTTACTCTGTAACAGTTCAGTTATAATATTAGGAACTGGGACAGAAATGACACTTTATTAATTTCTAGAATTGACTTTAATGTCTGATTGAGTCCTCAGCCTGCCTTCTAGCAGATGTCTCTAGGTAAATGAAGGACCAATTCAGTAATTTCAAGGGAATGGAATTTCAGGCCAATTGACTCATCTTAGGTCAGTTCAGAGCTCTCCAGACTTCCTGCCTCTTCCTCCCCAACACTGATCCAATTCCCAGGGAAATTATACAACCACAGCTGGCAGGAGGTGAGGTTGGGAGTGTCTGCTTTTGGGGTCCTATCATATTCTTGGTCCTACTTGTTGGCATCCTCTGATGCCCCTCATTAGTCTGGGTCCTTTCCATGTCACTTGGATCCTCAGGCAACTCAGAGAACTGATGGGACTGTCCGATGGCCTGGGGGACTGGCGCCAGGCAAAGTGCTCGACCATTGTCTCCTTGGTCAGCCTTGTCTCCCACCCTGAACGGTCTGCCTCGAGCCTATAGATTAACTCCCATCTTGCTCTTATCGATTCACATTCCAGAAGCTCCATGCATAGCCCCCGCAGGGCCAAACCCTAAGAGACAAATTCCAGATACAACAGGCAGATATAAAAGACACGAGCCCCTACATTGAGCGTGGCTTCTAGGACTCGACCCCCGGAGTCTGTGAACCCGCCTGGAGTGTACCCAATAAAGCCTGATCCCTGTTTATTTGGCTGATTGGCTCTCCAGTCTCTTCTCTGTTTTATTCGGCGGCTCCCCCGATTCCTTACAGGGACCACCCCCTGTCCATAGCCACCTCCCACCATCTCTCTTCCTTTCCCCATGCCCAGTAGTTTCTCTCAGAATCCCCCTAAACTTTTGTAAGGGATCTTGCATTTTCTTCAAGACCAGGTGTGTGGTAGTGAAGACAAAAATTTCATACTGCTCTCTTCCTCTGTCTTTTCTCTAGGTAAGGGGTCAGGGAGAACCAGTTCTACCTCTTTCACCTCTGTAAGTTGTTAGTGTTTCACACCAGGAGCAGCGGCCTTTGCATTTAGTAATTCAGAGCCTGGGTCTTTGTTCCCAGCTGTCCAGCTGTCTTCACTGTATTCAATGCCCTTCCATTTGGCTGTTGGTTGGGGGAGAGTTAGCAGATAGTTGTAGCGGGATAGGAATGGCAAATCAGGCAATACTTTTTCACTGAGTATTCTTTTTTTTTAATCCTCACTTGAGGACATTGTTTTTTTTTGTTTGTTTTTTTTCCATTTATCTTCAGATAGAACGGGAGGGAGAAAGGGAGTAAGAGAGAGAGAGAAACATTGATGTGAGAGAGACACATTGACTGGTTGCCACCCACACGACCCCAACTGGGGCCCGGACAAACTGCAACTGAGGTACGTGCCCTTAGTGGGAACTGAACCCAGGATTCTCTGGTCTGAGGGCCAATGCTCTAACTGCTGAGCCAAACTGGCCAGGGCTCACTGAGTATTCTTATACAAGAGCAAATTGGGATTATCAACTGCCATCTTTAATCTAATGAAAAAAAGTACTTTGGACCCTATATTCTTCTCTAGTTTTGAAAGGACTCCAGAGTCATTAAGTTCCAATCACCAAGTTCCTTTCAACATTTGGCTGGGGACTTCCAACTTGCTAAGTGTTCCTAATTTAACAAGATTTATAGGACAGTGCCATACACCTACACTTCGAGATGTCCAGGTTCTAAGCCTCAGTCAGAGTGGTCCCCAGGCTGAGGTATTGGGTGTCCTGGGCCCCAGCCCAGGAGCCTCCTACTATTTTCTTCTTTACGGTCCCGTGGCTCTGGCAGTCATCTAGCCACTGAGCCTCAGTCTCCTCCTGTGTGGAGTGTGCGAGGTCTCTCATCTTGTGGTAGTCAGGAAGATTAACTAAGATAATGCCTATGAGTGTTCACTAAACATTAGATTCTCAGGTTTTGGTTTCTCTCTTCCTTCCAGAATCCTTCATTGTGACATAAGGAGATTCTGAGGATGAGATTTTCTCAAAACAAGGCTTCCAACAGCTGTTGGTAGGGTATGAGGAATGGAGAAGAGCACTTACCTTACCCCTAAAGGAAGCTATTTCTTCCTAATATAACCGGATCCTTGGGAAGGATTTGTGGTCCTGCCTTTGAAAGGCAGAGGGGCGTGTGCCATTCGTCAAATCAGGAACCATGAAGAGATATACAGCGACTTATCCCTGGCAGGTTCTGAAGAAGGAACGGGTAAGGAGTGTGAAGGGCCCAGGGAGGGGAGAGTGGAACATTGAACAGACAGGTATTTTGAGGGAGGGAGAGGCAGGTATTGGACGGGACCTTGGATGAATGTGGCTACCTTGTACCTTTTGGAGTCACAGCATGGGCACAAAGAAAAGAGTTCCAGATTAGGCTTCAGAAAGTCTGAATTCTTTTTTTTTTATCCTCACCCAAGGACATTTTTTGATCTTTTGTTCAGATAGAGTAGGAGGGAGAGAGAGAGAGAGAAACATCGACATGAAAGGGACACATCGAGTGGTTGCCACCTGCATGACCCAACCAGGGTGGGGGGACAAACTGCTATCGAGGTACATGCCCTTAGCAAGTACTGAACCTGGGACTCTCTGGACTGCAGGCCGACACTCTAACCACTGAGCAAAACCAGCCAGGGCGAGACTGAATTCTTGATGTGCTCTAGAATTTTGCATCTGAAACCTGTATAATTTTGTTAACTGGTATCACCCCAATAAATTCAATAAAAAGAAAGAAAGACAATTCTGAGCCCTGCCCTGTACTCCCTCGACACTAGGCAAGACCCAGGCTACACGCTGAGCCAGAGTCCTGCTCTCCCACTCTGTCCCTACTACTTCTACTCTTACAAGATCCAGAAAAAATAAGACCCAGCAGCAGGGTAAAGTAATAGGTTAAACTTACAGATTCTGGAACTGGACTGCCTGGGTTCAATTCCCTATCACCTATTAGTCATATGACTAATATTAGTATTAGGCAAGTTACTTGATTTACTGTGCCTGTTTTTTCCTTTGCATAGATTTATTGTTGAGGATTAAATGAGTCAATATATATAAAGGTCTTAGAATACTGCCCAATAATGGCAAGTTGTTTTTATTAATTTTATTAATAAATCCTTTTCCTATATTTACATTAGATATATAATTTTTAAAGAAAATATTACAGTTATAGGTGAAGTTCCTCACCATCCTACTGCCTTTCTCCTCACAGGTAACTAACTACTCTCCTAAGGTTGATGTTTATATATTCTTCCTATCTATATATTTAAATTTTATTACATACGTATGTATACATAAGCAACTGTATAGTATGTGGCACATTTATTTATTTATTTATTTATTAATCCTCATGCAATAATATTTTTCTATTTATCTTCAGATAGAGCAGGAGGGAAAGAAAGAGAGAAACATCAATATGAGAGGTACACATTGATTGGTTGCCACCCACACGACCCCAAACGGGGCCAGGACGAACCACAACCGAGGTACGTGTCCTTGGCCAGAATCGAACCCGGGACTCTCTGGTCCGCACCTGCTGTACCAAACCAGCCAGGGCAATGTGGCACATTTGAAAAAATGGTATTATAAATGGCATTGTATTTCACTTTTTTTCACTCAAAATTATGTGTGAGCTTTACCCACATTGCCATACACAGCTAGTGCTATGCTCAGTCCTGTTACTGTACTGTAATGTGTTGATGCGCTCCCTGCTGTTGGAAACTTTCATTGTTTTCAGCTTTCCACCATCACATGTGCTGTGGCCATCCTCATGGCTATCTCTTTGTGCGCATGTGTAACTTTCTCTAAAATATATATGTATGGGTGCATACAGCTCCTTGGTTGTAAAGGACACACATCCTCAACTTTAAAAAATATTGTCAAATTGCTCTCCAACATAATTGTACCATGTTTTCATTTCCCCAGCCTGAGCAAGGTAAATCTTGTTGTTACTTTAATTTCCATTTCCTTTATTTCTAGTGGTATTAAGAATCTTTCATGCCCTGGCCGGTTTGGTTCAGCGGTTAGAGCGTCGGCCTGCGGTCCTGAGAGACCTGGGTTCGGTTCCCGCTAAGGGCGTGTACCTCGGTTACAGTTTGTCCCCCGCCCTGGTCGGTTGTGCGGGTGGCAGCCACTCGATGTGTTCCTTTCACATCAATGTTTCTCTCTCTCTCTCTCTGTTCCTCTCTCTCCCTCCCACTCTGCCTGAGCAAAAAATGGAAAAATGTCCTCGGGTGAGGATGAAAAAAAAAAAAAAAGAATCTTTCATTATGTATAGGTAACTTGAGTTTTCCCTTTGAATTACCTGCTCAGATCCTTTACTCATTTTTCTACTGGGTTATTTATTATTATTATTATTTGTAGAATTTTTATTGATTTTTCCTTTTTTTTTTTTTATGAGAGAGGAAGGGAGGGAGAGAGAAAATTTGATTGGCTGCCCCCCGCACGCTCCTACTGGGGATTGAGCCTGAAACCTGGGCATGTGCCCTGAGTGGAATTGAACCCACAACCTTTCAGTCCATGGGATGACACCCAACCAACTCGGCTATACCAGCCAGGGCTATAGAATTTTTTTTAATTAAAATTCCGAATATTAATCCCTTGTAATAGTAATCTTTTATAGTTCTGGATAGTAATCCTTTGTCAATTATATGCATGGCAAATATATTTTTTCAATCTTCAGTTTATCTTTTCATTTTTTTTAATGATGTCCTTAATCAGAAGTTAATAGTTTTTGCATTTTTAAAACTATGGAAATTTTCAAACATAAAAGTTGAAATATATATATAATGATCATCTTTTAGATCTTACAGTCATCATTTTGCCATATTGGCTTTATGTATTTGTGTGTGTGTATGTGTGCAGGTGTGTGTTTGCTGAATAATTCAAAAGGTGCATACTTTATGACACTTACTTAAAAATAAGAACACAATCGCCCTTGCTGGTTTGGCTCAGCAGTTAGAGTGTCGGCCTGTGGACCAGAGAGTCGCAGGTTCGATTCCTGCTAAGGGCACGTACCTCGGTTGCAGTTTGTCCCTGGCCCTAGTTGGGGTCGTGTGGGTGGCAGCCAGTCAATGTGTCTCTCTCACATCGATGTTTCTCTCTCTCTCTTCCTTCCTCTTTCCCTCCTGCTCTATCTGAAGATAAATGCAAAAATGTCTTCGGGTGAGGATAAAAAAATAAATAAGAACACAACCACGATATCACCACAATACTAAGAAAATTAAAAGTAATTCTCTGGCCCTGGCCAGTTTGGCTCAGCGGTTAGAGCATCGGCCTGTGGTCCGGAGAGACCCGGGTTCGGTTCCCGCTAAGGGCATGTACTTCGGTTGCAGTTTGTCCCCGGCCCTGGTTGGTCATGCGGGTGGCAGCCACTCGATGTGTCCCTTCACGTCGATGTTTCTGTCTCTCTCTCCCTTCCTCTCTCTCCCTCCCACTCTATCTGTACAAAAAATGGAAAAATATCCTCGGGTGAGGATAAAAAAAAAAAAAAAAAAAAAGTAATTCTCTGTATCATCTAATATGCAGTCATATTCAGTTTCCTTATTTGTTCCTAAAATGTATTTTATAGCTTTTTGTGATGAATTAGGATCCAATCAAGGTTCATATTTTGCATTTGTTTGTATGTTTCTTGAGTCTTAATCTAGAACAGCCCCCACAACTTGTTCTTTTTTTCCTCATGAAATTGACTTTTTTAAGAAACTGGGTTAGGTGACTTATAGTTTGTTTTACATTCTGGATTTGTCTCTTTAGTGTTGAACTTACTTCTTTATTTCCTGTATTTACTCGCAGGTAGAGGGTGATTTATTTTACTCCCAAATTCTATTTGGGATTTGTTCTCAGTTCCCATTCCAAATTCCCAGGGAAAAGATCGGATGGTCCTATCTTGGATTAGGTGTTATATTAGTTTTCTATTGCTGCTCTAACATATTACCACAATTTATTGGCTTAAAACTATGCAAATTTATTAGCTTATGTAGGTTAAAAGTCTGGCATGAGTCTCCCTGGGCTAAAATCAAGGTGTTAACAGAGCTGTGTTCCTTGCTCAAGGTTCTAGGGAAAAATCCATTTCCTTGACTTTCCTAGCTTCTAGAGACTACCTGCATTCATTGGCTTGTGGCCCCCTTCCTCTGTCTTCAAAGCCAGCAATGTTGCATTTCTCAACCAGTCTTCCCTCAGATCCATCTGATTCCCAAGTTCAGTCTCTCTGCATCACCTCTCACTTCCTGCCACTACTTTTGCTCTTTATTTTATAGAGCAAAGTGAAGGGCTTGACATATAACTAGAACCGTACTGGTGAATGTTTGAACAACTGGCCCTCTGGGGAAGGGCATGTTCTCATTTGTAGTAGTTGCCAGTGTTTATGTGGTATAAATATTCCCACCATGGGCAATTTCAAGCTACCAACATGATTTCAACAGTCTTAAAAACTTCCTGAAAATGTAACCATCCCTCTAGCACACCACCGACTTTAATCCAATTACATTTCGCCTTCTTCAGCACTATCTAGCCTGCTGTTGATGGTTGAAAACAGATGGTTTCCACTCTCTTGTTTGTTTTGATTCCACAGGAGCTACACCAGCTCATCCTGGATGTCGTTGTGATGATCCGAGTGTGTAAAATGTTCCGCCAAGGCCTCAGGGGGTTCCGGGAATATGAGATCACTGAGACTACTCGCAGAAGGCACCCTACCTTCTCCTTCTGGGATGTAAGCAGCTGGGCTCAGAAGGGTTATCAGGGCTTAAGGGGGTTCTATAAGTAGCACCCCACTTCCTATTCCCAGTTCTGTACCAAGGGAGAAAGAAGACAAAGAATAAAGCAGAAGGGAGACCCCAACTGTCACTTTTATTAATGACATTTATATTGGAGATGACTTGGATCATCAAGCGAGAGCGTTACCTAATACTGAACCCCGGAATTAGTCAGCCTTGCACACCCAATCACAGGCAGTGCTGGGCCATAGCAGGCCTCCATTACAGCAGCCGGGCCTCCTGCCTTAAACTCTCAGCAGAGAAGGCCAGAGCAGAATGTAGGCTCAGAAGGAAGGAGAAAAGGGTGATCGTGCCCAGTTTCTCCTTGAAAATCTACCAAGGAGTCTATCACTTCTTCTCAGTGTGGAGGGCAGGGGGCTGGTAGCGTTCAACTAGTACAACTCCCTCCATGTGAAAACAAACGTCGGGAGTGGGGAAGAAGCCATCTCCTTCCAACAGTGATCAAAGGAGCCAAAAGAGATCTAGTTGGGGTTATCTGAATGCCCACCAGCCATCCATCTTCTCTACCTTCTTTCCTGTCTCCTTACTGAAATGAGAAGGGAATATTTGCCGGGCCCTGTTCGCTCTAGTGACCATGCTTTCTAGATTTTCCATAAGGTCCCCATTTCAAATATTTTATCCCAGTGGTAGATCACTAGCTCCATTTGGCTCAGAAAAGTCAATCACGATTCTGTTAACCTGTTCTAGTTCTCCAGAGTTGTCTTCATTACTACCCAGGGCCCCAAAGTGTCTCCTGCCCATTTTCCTGGAATCGCACGCAGCCTCTGCCTCCTGCCTGCATGCAGCAATTCACTCCAAGAAATTCCCCAGGATGGTTTCTGGAGGAAAGTAGCCAAGGAGAGAGTGAGGTGGTAGTGATGGGGCAAAGGAAGGTGGTCTTACATGGTTTCTGAGGGGCCAGGAGGCTCCTCTATGTGTGTGTGACTGAGTTGAAGATGCAGCAGAGAGAAAGGGCCTGTGGCCAGCTGGAGAGGAAGGGCATGCCCCATCTAAAGACATTCAAATTAATATATTTTGAAGACACTATGCTGGCCAAACCAAACAAGTCTTCAGCCAGATTCTGCCCTGTAGTTGGGCCATGAGACGGGAAGGGATGGAATAGAAGAATTGTAACCTGAGAGACTGAGATTAGCTCTCAGGAAGGACATTCTGACTCAGGGTGCCAGGCAGTGGTGAAATGAAGGGCCCTGGAGACCAGGAGTCTTTGGTTACCGGCAGACCTGGGCTGATGCCTGGGCAGTCAGAAGCTGAGGATAAGAGCAGGTTTGTCATCAGGGGAGTGTGAAGCTAAACCTAACAACATTACCCAGCCAGGGTGGCCTTGAGCAGAAGCCTCTCAAGGGCACTCTATAGGGTCATATGAATGTTGAGCAGAGAGCTGGAGGTCTGGGACATAGGGTTGCACAGAGAGAGAGCCAAAGACTGGTTTTTAGTGGAGTATGTGAATCCAGATCCTTCTGAACATCATCTTTCTTTCATTGGCCTCCCCGAGAAGCACCACATGGATACTCAACTATAAATGAGGGGAGAGGACAGGGATCTGAGTGCGCTCTGGGGAAGGACATGAGGAATAGCTAGAGAGATGTGAGGGTCCTGGTTTGGTCCAGTATGGTGGTCAGTGCCTTGTTTGTCCTTTTCTTTCACCCCTACATCTCCCTACATATTTTGTCCCACTCTCTCTGCCCCGTTCTCTATTCTTTCCACATCCTTTCTGCATCTGTTAGGAGAAAGGGTTGAATTAATTCATCCCTAAGACCTCTTATACCTCCTCCTCCTAGCCATCCTCTAGATGAGAACCATTTACTTGCTGTGAAATCCTTGGGCAAATTCTTCACTCAAGTCCAAAACCGGGCTTAATACCTGCTTTGTTTTGAAGATGAAACAGAGTAAGATAAGGAAGATGCATCATGCCTGGCTCATTATAGGCACTCATCAAAGGTTGGCTTCATTTGCTCCTTCCTTTTTATCCCTTCTTTCTGTTTTCTTTCCCCTCACTACTTTCCTTTTTGTTTGCTTCTTTTCCCTCTTTCTTTTCTCTTCCCCTGCCTCCTCTCTTTATTCTCCTTTCCCTTCCCACACCCCCATCTTTCTCTCTGTCCGCAACAATATGTTGTCACTGCCCCCCACATCTGTGCTGAGTTGGATCTTTTGAACAGAGGTGGACATGAGAAACGCAGCTGGTGGGTTTCCTATGGCTTCCTGCCTACCATGGTGGTCCAGGTAAAGGGTTTCAATGCAAAATTCTAGAATCAGTCTAGTTGATTCTCCCCCCCCCCCTTTTTTATTTCCAGAAAAAGAAGCAAGGCCGAATCATATTTGATACCATGGACTACGTGGCAGAATCGGTATGCATAGTTCTGACCTTGATTTGGGGAATATTTTTTCTGCATCATGGTCTGGAAGAAGCACTGGGTTGGGCATCAGGACACCTGGGTTCAGTCCAGGTTCTGCCACCAGCCCAGTGTGTCACCATGAGCTAGCCACTTAGTGTCCTCATCTATAACACAGGCAATCTCAGTGATCCCTTTCAGTCTGCTATTCCAAGACTGTGAGCTCCCCCTGCCCCAACTTTTTGTTGCTTTAAAGCTGAGCAGAACCAGCAGGGGAGAGCTCCTGCATTTGGACCTGTGGGAAGACAGCAGAAGGCACAGCAGAGGATGTGAGAGCCCCAAAGGGGCTTGTGTGAATTCTGGCTCTGCCCTAAACTCTCCAAAAGATGCTGGGCACAGTTGTCCCCGACCTGGGTGTAGGATGGCCATTCTGATGAGTAAATACCTTATATCTGGGTGAGGCTTTGGACTGTGTCACTTGTTCTCTGAATTTCAAGAGTCATGGTTCTCTTCCCAGCTGGATATTAATTAAAATTAAATTTAAAATTTAAAGGGGCCTACCTATTTATAGGGAAAATCTGAAGTTCTCACCAGTGAAGACCTGACTTGACCCTGGCCTGGGGTAGCCGTGCTGATTTTTCTTTCAGGGAAAGGAGGCTGGACAGAGCTTTATGACCTGTGCCACCCTGTCCCACCTCTTTTCCCCTTTGCAGCAAGGTGTGGCTCCTGTTGTCTGTCCCTCCTGAGCATAATCTATTTTTTCATGCCCCATTATGTATGAAGCACAATTAAGTCATCCAAATTCTGTGTGTTTTTTAATATGTATTTATTGATTTTTTTTTTTTTTAGGGAGAGAGAGAGAGAAACATCAATGTGAGAGAGAAACAATTACTGGCTGCCTCCTGCACACCCTGCACTGGGGATCGAGCTAGCAACCTGGGCATGTGCCCTGACCGGGAATCAAACTGGCACCTCTCAGTCCATGGGACGATGCTCAGTCCATTGAGACACACTGGCTGGGATGGGTGTTTGTTTTTTGTTTTTCCAACTTTCCAGACTTGTATGACACTGGGTTCTGAAGTTTACCCAAGTTTTGCTCTTTAGACAGAAGAAAATAGGGGCCTTTCTGAGAGTCACAGAGCTCGAGAGAGTAAGGCAATTTTGTGTATAAAAGAAGAGGGTGCAAAGGAAAAATCCACTGTGTAGTCTCTCAGCCTCTTGAATGACTTTGGCTCCAACACGGAGACAAAGAGCAGAGACCCAATTTAAAAACCTGCTTTGAGTGACTGCGAATGGGTCCTGGTTTCTTTTTAGGGTGATGAAAAGGTTGTAAAATGCATTGTAGTAATAGTTGCACAACTCTTGAATACACTAAAAATAATTGAATTATACACTTTAAATGGTGAATGGTGAATCATACAGTATGTGAATTATATCTCAATCAAGTTGATCCCCACACACATGTATTATACATATATAACCTCCCCTGCAGGGCAGCACTTGGATTATGACTGAAAACTAAACCTCAGTATAGTCCATACTGGGATTCTGCTAATGCTGAACTTCTCAAAAAGAACCCTTAGAATTACAGAGACTTGAATCTAGACCCGTTTATTATAAAAATTGTGAGACATCAAAAACATTGGGTATATTTCAAAAACATAGTTTTAAAAGGAACATTGAGTGAAAAAAAGCAGGTTGCATAAATGATGTCTGCAGTCTGACATTTATGTAAATAAAAACAAACCAATTCTATGCAGATTCTGTGGGCACATGTGTAACTATATAATAATGTATAAAAATGGTAACTGGTGATGGAGAGCAGATCCAGATTAGGGGTGACATGGTACAAGGGGATTTTAACTATTATCTTGTTCTGATTCTTCATGGAAAATAACTCATGTATTACTTGTATTATTTTCAAAGAGTTTATTTATACATAAGAAAATGACAGGAAACAAGCATGTCAGATATTAATGGCCAGCTCTGGGTAGTGGGATTAAGGGCAGTCCCTTTTTTCCCCTCTTTATCCTTCCTGTGTGCTACAGGAACACAGTGAGGGAATTGCTGGCCTGAATTGAATGAGGGTAAGAGCACCTGTGTTTTGTTGTAAATGGATTCTGTGACAGAATGCCAATAGGTTATTGATAGCAAAAGAGTTAGAAAGGAGAACATTTGGATTCTGACGAAAAATGGCCAACACATGGCCCTGGCCAGTTTTGCTCAGTGGTTAGAGCATTGGCCTATGGACTGAAGGGTCTTGAGTTTGATTCCTGGTCAAGGGCACGTACCTGGGATATTGCAGGTTCCACCCCTGGCCCAGCTGGGGTCATGCAGGAGGCAACCAATCGATGTGTCTCTCTCACTTTCATGTTTCTCTCTCTCGCTATCTCCCACTCCCTCCCTCCCTTCCACATAATGAAAAAATGTCCTCAGGTGAGGATTTAAAAAAAAAAGGCCAACACTAACCCTGGCCAGGTGGCTCAGTTGGTTGGAACGTCATACTGTACACCAGTAGGTTGTGGGTTTGATTCCAGGTTGGGGCTCATATGAGAGGCAACTGATCGATGCTTCTCTCACATCGATGCTTCTCTCTCTCCCTTCATCTCTCTCTAAAATCAATAAAAAACAAAACAAAACCACATCCTTGGGTGAGGATTAAAAAAAGAAAGAAAGAAAGCCAACACTTCCATAGTCCTTACTGTGTGCTAGGCATGTTGTAAGTCCTTTACACGTATTTACTCTGTTATTTATACATATAGTTTCTGCTATTTTTTTTTTTTGATCCTCACTTGAGGATAGTTTTTGCTTTTATCTTCAAATAGAGCAGGAGGGAGAGAGGGGAGAAGAGAGAGAGAGAAACATCGATGTGAGAGAGACACATCTACTGGTTGCCACCCACACGACCCCAACCAGGGCGGGGGACAAACTGCAACCGAGGTACATGCCCTTAGCAAGTACTGAACCTGGGACTCTGGTCTGTGGGCCACCGCTCTAACCGCTGAGCCAAACTAGCCAGGGCTCTGCTATTATCAATAGGGAAATTGAGGCTCAGGCAGAGGTGACTTGTCTCAGGACAGACAGCTAGGAAGCAGGCCAAGATTCAAGCCCAGACACCTGGCACCAGAGCCTGTGAGCTTTTAATCCCTGAACTACACTGCCTTTATGTTTCTTTTTCTTATTTTTTCTCTCTTTTTAACTTTTTTTCTTACATTGCCTTTCTGAATAATGAATATGCAAGGCTTTGATCTGCCATTCTAATGTCCAGCTTTCTTCATCATACCACTTTCATTTTGCTCCTATGATAGTCACTGTTCTGCAAGACTGTCGGTATTCATTCATTCTTTCCACAAATATTTTGTTGAGTGCCCACTACATGTGAGACATTATTCTAGACTGGTAAACAAGATAGATGAGGCCAGTCCTGGCCCGTTTGGCTCAGCAGTTAGAGCGTCGGCCTGCGGTCCAGAGAGACCCGGGTTCGGTTCCTGCTAAGGGCACATACCTCGGTTGCAGTTTGTCCCCGGCCCTGGTTGGGTTGTGCGGGTGGCAGCCACTCGATGTGTCCCTTTCATGTCGATGTTTCTCTCTCTCTCTCTCCCTCCCACTCTATCTGAACAAAAAATGGAAAAATGTCCTCGGGTGAGGATAAAAAAAAAAAGATAGACGAAGCCACTACCATGTTTACATCAGGGCTTATATTCTAGAGCACCTTTGTCCCATAGAACTTTCTGCAATAATGGGAATGTTTAATAGTCTGTATTATCCAGGGTAGTAGTCAACAGACACGTGTAGTTATTAAGCACTTGTGTGACTGAAGAACTTATTTTTTAATCTAATTTAAATGTAAATAGCCACGTGTAGTTACTGGCTGCCATACTGGACAGTGCAGTTGTAGATTATATATATGTTTGTGTTTGTGGGGTGTGGTAGGGAACGACAGATAATATACAAAAAGGATGATTAACAAAGAGGAATTAGATAATTTCAGAAAGTATTAAATGCTTGGGAGGAAAGTATTCAGAGCCTACAGGGTGCTGGGAAGGGGGCCCTGCTATTTTAGTTCAGCTGATTCAATAGGGTTTCCCTGAGGACATAGGAGTTGTGATCAGAATGAGGATTTACTATGGGAAAATCCAGAGGAAGAGCATTCCAGACAGAGGAAACAGCCCAAGCAAAGATCGCAAGACAGAAGCAAGCTTGGCACCTCCAAGAGATGGGTAGAAGGCTAGAGACAAGAGAATGAAGGGGAGAGGCAGGAGGTGAGGTTGGAAAGGATTAGGGAGATAGGGAGTCAGACCACATGGGCCCGTAGGCTGTGGTACAGAGTTAAAATTTTAACCTAAGTGCAACGGGCAGCTAGTGGGAGTGTTAACAATTTCCGTACCATTTTCCCCGCAGGTGGGAGTAGTGGGTGAACGGGTGGACCTGCTCGCCTACTGGTCCATGAGTCCTGGTTCATGAGGGTTAATAGTCTCTGTAGGTTTCCTGTTCCTTAGTCTTTGGCAGCATGCATAGGTATAGGCTGGGGCAAGGGAGGTCTCTCCTGACTGCCATGTGCATGTGCTGAGGGGCCCTTGGAGCCCAGGGAGCCCATGTTCCCTGGGGTAGGAGGTCAATGAACAGCAATGGCAGTATGGTCAGTAGTTGGGGATACAGGCCCTGACACGTAGCAGATCTAGTGTCTTCGCCTATCAGATGGGGACAGTAACCGTGCCTCGCTTCTTGAGCTGGGCGAAGATGCAGTAAGATGGTGTGTGTGAGATGCATGTCCCGATGTGTGGCACACAGTAAGCACTTACTACATGTCAGCCACTGTGGTGTGGGGGGTAGGAAGGAGTAAGAGCAGCAGTATGAGGAGTTGCCCGCTGGCCAGTGGGGGAAACTGCTGGGTCCTGTGTGTCACTCTGGTTCTCTCTCCCCAGGGTTACTTCCCTCCAAGGGCCATTGAGATAGCACAGAAGATTCCTTCTTGGAGGACGGAGCAGGACGTCCAGTCCCTCTGTAACTTCTTGCAGGTTCTGGATTGCTACCGGAATTACTCAGAGCCCCTTCAGCTGCTCCTGGCCAAAGTCATTCGCTTTGAACGGTCAGTGGGGGGCATAACCCTTGGCTCCTGGGCTGGAGCTGGGCTGGGCAGGGCAGGAAGAGCCCAACTGAGCAGGTTGCCAGCCTCTCTGGAGTGTCAGCCATGGAAAGCTGTTTGTTAGTTCACCTTAGAGCTCACTGTTATGGTTGCTGCACAGTTTATCTCATCCATTAATTGAGAGTATACCCAGAATTAAGGAGCCACTGAATCTGGAGAGGATCTGGTAGGAACCCCGGAAAGGATCTGGTCCAATCCCCTCATATTTCAGATGAGAAAACAGGCCTCAAAAGGGGGAAATGACTCATCCTAGGTCAACCAGATAATAAGTAACAAAGCAGAGGCTCAAATCCAGGCCCAAAAAGCCAGAATGGATCACAGGTGGTTATACTATATCCAGACGGGAACCAGGGCAAGGGTCTTGAACTTGGATAAGAGAAAAATTATATCTGTATCTTCATTAATTTCTAACTGAAATTTATCATTTTCTTCAATCATGGATATAGGTAACAAATCACTGTAGTATTAGACATTCTTGTGACTTTTTCACCAAAAGAAATCACAGATATTTTCACCTTATTTGTTGCAGATTTTTTGAAAAATAGTTGATCACATCTTCGAAAATGTGGTAGCTATTACTCAGTGCCTAAATATAGACACACACATATTGCTATATCACAAATTTGGGTTTTTGTTAACTATATTTCTGCTGTATTTTATTTTATACATTTAAAATGTTATTCTGTGAAGTCTTCGCCAGATGGTCACAGGGCCCATGGCACAACAAGCACCATGTAAATACCTTGTACTAGAGAAGTTTAAGAGGTGCGTGTGGAAATATTGCTATTTCCAGGACATTCCAATGGCTTGTGGGTGACAGCAGAATATTTTAGGTGAGGCCTGTTTTGAAAATCTAGGATACAATGTCATTATAGGTTTGTGCACCGATATCTTCCTTCATGGAGGTCACAGTCTAGGATATAATCACAACTAACTGTAGATTACGATGCTTTATGAACCATGCAGGATCCTTTCCATAGGTAATAAGCCAGGCGGAGGAGGTTTTTCTCCAGCCGGCTTGACCAAGGGAGTTTCACAGCAGAGGGGGCATTTGAACAGGTAGACTTGACAGGTGGAAGTGTAGACAAGGATGTTCCAGGCAGAGAGGACCATCTGCTTTGTTCTAGCCCAGTGAAGAAGAGCAAGTAACTGCTATCTTTTCTTGTTGTTGTTGTTAATCCTCACCTGAGAATATTTTTCTGTCACTGCTGTCTTAAAGTGAGATTCCCGGGCAGGCAGAAAGGTGTCATGGAAGGAAAAAGAATCATGGAACTACCTTAGCGGGAACCAAACCCGGGTCTCTCCGGACCGCAGGCCGACGCTCTAACCACTGAGCCAAACCGGCCAGGGCGAAGCTCTGGAATTTAATGCCATGTCTGTCCCACTGTGATCTCAGACAAGCCACTTAACGATTCTGAGCCTGGTATCCTCATCAGTGAAATGAGGATGATAAGGATTTTGTACAGGTCAAGAGATGGTGATTGTCATTGCCAGGACCGGGAATTAGCAGATTAGATCGGACCTTTCTAGTTGCAAATGACAGAAAAAGCAGCCCAAGGGAATGCATTGGCGGTTCCTGTATCTGAAAAGTCCTGGGATAGTTTTTCAGTTTCAGGCTCAGTTGGATTTAGGGCTCAGTGTCACCAGGACCCTCTCTGTCTGTCTGTCTGTCTCCATCTCCTGGCACTTCATAGCATATGCTACCTTCTCAGCCAGACCCTCTTCTCACGATGGCGAGATGGTTGCTCCAGCCACCGCTCCAAACTGCCATCCTGGTTTCATTTCAGTCCCTTGGGAAACAGAATAACCCCTTCCAGTCCCTCGAGTCAGAGCCTTGGGATTAGTTGTTTCTGAACCAGGTTGGCTTCACTTAACGCATCAGTGGGCAATGATGCTCTGATTGTCTGAGAATCAAGAAAGGGTGTTCCACCCAAAGCAAAATCAGGGTGCAGTTGGTAGAAAAATGTGACCCGATGCTTGGCAGCAAAAGCAATAGATGTCGCCTGACCGGTGTGGCTCAGTGGTTGAGCATCAACCCATGCACCAAGAGGTTGATTCAATTCCCAGTCAGGGAACATGCCCAGGTTGTGGGCCCCTATCCCCAGTTGGGGGCATGCAGGAGGCGGCCAGTCGATGTTCTCTCTGATCAATATTTCTATCGATCTCTCTCCTGTCCTCTCTCTAAAATCAATAAAGAAGGGAAAAAAACAATATATGTCTACTATAGGAGATTCAGGGTTTTTTTGTTTTTGTTTTATTTTATTTTTTTTATCCTCACCCGAGGACATTTTTCCATTTTTTTGTTCAGGTGGAGTGGGAGGGAGAGAGAGGAAGAGAGAGAGAGAGAAACATCGATGTGAAGGGACACATTGAGTGGCTGCCACCCGCATGACCAACCAGGGCCGGGGACAAACTGCAACCGAAGTACATGCCCTTAGCAGAAACCGAACCCGGGTCTCTCTGGACCGCAGGCCGACGCTACAACCGCTGAGCCAAACCGGCCAGGGCGGAGATTCAGGTTTTTGTGCTGACTCAAGTGTGACTCACTGTGTGATCTTCAAGCAAGCTGTGGGCTCCCCGGGCCCCACTTTTCTCATCCTGAAAATGTAGATTGAGGTAGATGGTCTCTGGGGGTCTTTCTGGCTTCAGCTCTAGGGGTCTACACTTGCATGAACACTGACTGTGCTCTTTTGTCCCCCATGTCTTATTTCCTGGCTGAATATACCTGACTTCTCCCATCTGGTCATTGCCATCTGGGCCATCACCTCTTTCTTACATGACATAGCCTCTGGTTTGTTTTGGAACAAGCCCACAGCCAGAGGGAGCCTGAAGCTACTAACTCCAGCCTAATGCAGTCCTGAGTCCTTCTGTTCTCTGTGCTCTGTCTGCCCCCAGGAATTGGCCATGAGGCCATGAGGCCACTGGGTGCTCTGGAAGCTCAGAAAGGGAGATACTGCTATGGGCTGAGTCAGAGAGGTCTTCCTGGAGGAGGTAGGATCTTAGCTGGACCTTGAGCCCCTAGAAAGAATTTGAATAGGTGGATAAGACAGGAAAGGCCATTTCAGGCAGGGATTGCTGTGTAGACGAATTAATGGAATAAAGGAAGTGACACTTGGCCTGTGCAGAGGGTTGGCTCAGTGAGGAGGGGAAGGAGAATGAGGAGGACCTGCTGAGGGCAGTGCTGAGATTGGAGCTGAGGGACATGGCAGCAGTCTGGAAAATACTGAAGTACTTCTACAAAGACTACTGATTCATCAGACCTTGGCAGAGACTAAAGGGTAGACTGGGTTCCTCATTGCCTTCTGGGTAAAATCCAAACACAGCCCAACTTTTGAATTCCTTGTGATTAGAGAGAGCCAGATTTCTCTTCCACTACTCCCCTGACCTTCTCCCGTCTCCCATTTTCCTCTCTAATGGTGCATTATTCCTTTTAATGTGCCATGCTTCTGGCCACCTGTGTGCCTTTTGACATGGAAGTCCCTCTGCCTAGGATGTTCTTCCATATCTCTATCCACCTGGATGACTCCAGACACTACCCCAAAGCTTTCTCTGGCCTTCCCTAAGCTGGGTTAAATGCCCATTCTGAATTAGCTTGTGTTTACCTCTCTTTAAGCATTTTTAAACCTTATTTACTCCTTACTTGACCATAATTTTGAGAACAAATTCTGTGTCCTTTATCACTGTGCCTGACAGACACAGTTGGCATTTATTTAACTTATATTGAACGAATGAAGGAAATGAATGAATACTGAAAGACGTGATTTGAACTTGCATTTGAAATACAGAAACTTTCCTCTGAGCTTAAGAACTAACTCCCGGCTTTCTGGGGAACTGGGTGCTTCTACTCTAAGGGTTCCCAGTTGGGTAGTGAGTTCTTGAGGATCATAGTAAGACCATTTATCTGTCTCTTTCTAGGCATGCTCATCTGTATTTTACAGACAAGAGAAACTGAAGCTCAGAAAGAGGATACGAGTTGCCCATTGGCACATAGCCAGGGGCAGAACCAGGACTGGAATCCTGGTCTGACTCTAAAGCCAGTGCTCTTTTTTTGTTGTTGTTAATTCTCACTTGAGGATATTTTTCCATTGATTTTTGGAGAGAGTGGAAGGAAGGGAGAGAGAGAGAGAGAGAGGGAGAGAAACATCGATATGGGAGAAACACATCAAATGGTTGTCTCCTGAACAACCCCCACCAGGGCTGGGGATCAAACCTGCAAGCCAGGTTTGTGCCCTTGACCGGGAATCAAACCTGCAAGCCTTCGATTCACGGGCTGATGCTCTAACCGCTGAACCAAACCGGCCAAGGCTATAGCCAACACTCTTAATTATTTAGCTACTCATACATTGCTTTTAGCATTTGTTCATTCATTTATTTCACAACTGTTCATTGAGCATTTACTATGTGCCTAGGCAGACTGACAAAGGCTCTGCTCTCCAGAAGCTTCAATCCAACAGAGGTGGACAACTAGATAAGTGTTAGTGAAGAAGTGGAGCTTGGTAGGGCTGGGACTGGGATCTTCTGAGGTCCTTTCTAGTCCCAGCCTGTGCTTTCATGCTCCAGAGCAAAGACCACAACCAGTCCAGCTCTCCTCCCAGGACGGACCGGGCTCTGTGTTACTACCAGATCACATGGCCATGATCTCTCCCCAGGTTTGGCCGCAGGCGTGTGATCATAAAGAAGGGGATGAAGAGCAACAGCTTTTATTTCATCTACCTGGGCAGAGTCGCAGTAACCGAGGATGAGGATGGCAGCAGTGCCTTCCTAGATCCCCAACCAATGTTGCTGCACAAGGGCGACTGCTTTGGGGTAACAGAGGAAGGGCCTGGCTTCCTGGGGTGGGGTTGGGGTGTGAGAAGATTCCTGCTAGAACCTCTCAGCTAGGCCCAGTCCTGCCTTATACTCTGTGCAAGCCCATGGCCCTGTTGTAGGTCCCAGAGTCTTTATCTGTCAAATGCTGATTGAATTGGACCAAGTGATATCCAAGGCCAGCTTCTTCATTTGGGATGTTTAAGAAGTATGCTCCCTATATAACCCCTTAGAGATTCAGTGACTCCTCAGTGAGGCCTCTCCAGTTTCCTGCCTCTGGCCTGGTCAAGCCTGTTGCTTTTTGTCCCACACGCAGCATATTAAGAGGGAGGAGTGGGCCCACGGAAGGAAGGATGAGCCAGAGCACAGGGCTGGCCTGGGAACCTGCAGTCTGAGAGGAGAGATTTCCAGGGAAGGGGGGAGAGAGAAGCAGGAAAGAGGTATGCAGGGCTGTAAGCAGGAAACTGGAGGTAGCCTCTCACTTGCCTTTGCCCTGTTTACCCGACAGGAAATGGGCCTTCTGAGTTCTTCAGTAAGGAGGGCCACCGTGGTCTGTATGGAAGAAACAGAGTTCTTGGTTGTCGACCAAGAGGATTTCCTTGCTAATAAGCTGGACCAGGAGGTTAAAAAGGATGCTCAGCACCGGTTTGACTTCTTTAGGTAACTCCATCACCAGCCTGCATCTTCTCCCTGGGTGTTTATTAGGTGCCTAACTTGGCCCCAGGCCGCTAGGTGCTTTTCTCTTTGCCTGGAATGTTCTTCAGTACCTACCTCCTACCCAACTTCTCTATCACACTCTTATTATACTTTCAGTCTCAGCTCAAATATCCCTTCCTTGTGGGTTAATAATACTAGAATGGCTAATGTGTATCGAGTGCTTGCCAGGCAACGTTTGTACTCTCTGCCTTATCTAATTTCACATTCAGTCCTATGAGGATATTTTTCTTTTTCTCCCCAGTTTATGGGTAAGGGAAGTAAGGTTCAGGATAGGGATGTCCCAGAATGTCTGATTCAGAAATCTCTGGGCCTCACCACCCCCACCTCACTAACCAACCCTAACCTCACCCCAGAATAGAGAGGGTACCCCTCAACACTTTTTAAAAAATCCTCCCCTGATATACTTTTCCATTGATTTTTGTTGTTGTTGTTGTGAAATATACTGATATAGTATGAGTTTTATTCCAAGCAAACACATTGAACTGAGTTGCAAATTACATTGCTATTGAAGTTAGATAGAAAATCCCACCATGTAGGACTGCTGAGGTTTGGTACAATAGTTTGTCTTGATGACCTCATGTATACAGTCACTATAGTCAGTATTACACTTGCCACACTTACAGCTTACAGCTATAGGATAGGAGAAATAAGGACTAACATGGCGTGGGCATCCTGGTATTTTTACAGTCTTATACATGAAGTCTCTATATGTACAAATATCCTGGGACAGAGCATATTTGGGAAGAAACAGCTTGCCATTGATATCCTGTGTCATACAATATCCAGCACAGATGGTAGTGTTGATGGTTAGGCAATAATCGTACTCTTTCCTTCCGACATGCATCATATACTCAGTTGGAATACAAAAAGATGTTGCTTGTGCACAAGCAAGGCCAGAAAGCATGGACACCAGGAAGATAGCAGTCATGCAGTCTGGATGTGGCTGCTGCTTTAATTCCGTATTTGTAGGACTTCCATTCCGCTTGATTTCAGGCGGTTTTGAATGATGGTTGTTCTGTAGTTTAGTTGTAACTTTGATGTGGTTGTGGGAGGACTCGATACCACGTTTACCTACCCACCATCTTGACCAGAAGTCTTCTCCATTGATTTTTATATAAGAGTTGAAGGGAGGGAGGGAGAGAAACATCAATTCAAGAGAGAGACATCAATTGGTTGTCTCCCAGGGATTGAACCTGCAACCTAAGTATGTGTCGTTGACTAGGAATCGAACCCAAGACCCTTCGGTCTGAGGGCCGACACTCTAACCGTTGAGCCAAACCAGCCAGAGTGCCAGCCCCTCGATCCTTTTATTACACTGTGTTAAAACTGTAATTCTTGGTTACACAATACTTTCTTTCTTTTTTTTTTTTTTTATCCTCACCCGAGGATACTTTTCCATTTTTTTGTACAGAGTGGGAGGGAGAGAGAGGAAGGGAGAGAGAGAGAGAAACATCGACGTGAAGGGACACATCGAGTGGCTGCCACCCCCACGACCAACCAGGGCCGGGGACAAACTGCAACCAAAGTACGTGCCCTTAGCGGGAACCGAACCCGGGTCTCTCCAGACCGCAGGCCGACGCTCTAACCGCTGAGCCAAACTGGCCAGGGCACACAATACTTTCTTTACAGCTGTTTGCTCTATCAGACAGTAAGCAGAATGGGGCAAGGCCACATCTGCCCTTTTCACCATGGCAATCCCTGTGTTGTCAGGGTGCCAGGCACAAACAGGTGCTCATCCAGTTATCTTTAGGGAAGAGTGAAAGTCGAATGAAGCACATGCACTGGCACTGAAAATACAGGTTCTGGGTCGCAGGTTGCAGAGAATCAGGATAGGCAGAGTGTCCCTGGGGACCAGAGCTGAGCGCGTGCTTCATAAAGGGGCTGGAGCCTGACAAAGGGGAATTTAGTCCCCAAGGGAGAAAAGCTCACTTGTTCATACAGTGGGAGAATAGGGCTGGTTTTCCTCCAGTCTCAGCTCTTACACTTATTGGCCATGTGACCCTAGATAAGTCACTTCTCCGAGCATTAGTCTCCTGCTCTGTGAAATGGAGATAATGATTCCTCTCTTCTGGGGTCATTGTAAGGATTGAATGAGATGACCATGGGAGTCTGTGGCCCAGTTCTCCTTCTGTGGTGGCCCCACTTTCCTTTCAGTGTCTCCAGACCCTTCTCTTCTAGACATGGCACCAACTCTGTTCTCCTTTGGTGCTCTGGATGGAAACCCAGTGTCCCCACTGAGGCCTGAGTCACGAGTTCTGAGCTCATAATCTGTTGGAGCTGAGAAAATTTAAGACCATTGGTAGTAGTCCCTTGGGGCCTCATATGAGGGAAGGCAAACACATGTATGTGGTGTGTGAGGTCAGGCAAAGGGGCGGTCACTGTGGTGGGCCTTCAACCACAGGGAACAAAGAGGTGAGTCCAGACACTGCTCCAGGGCTGAGTATTTGAAGCCAATAGGCTATAGGAGATGGGTAGGAATGAACTACCCAAACCAAAGTAGGGCCAGGACTGCTGGGCTTGGAGGTAGAATAGCCAGTGAGCTGAAGTGAGGCCTCCTTACAGTGTTCCTTGAAACAGGAATAGCTTAGTGAGCCACAAGGTTGTAGGCAATGGAGCTGGGGAAAGTCTCCCAGGTGGGGGTGGGGGTACAGAAGCAAGAGACTCCCAGTTACACAGGTGGGTTACACAGGTGTATTTGAAGAGCAGAGGGGCATGGCTGCAGGGGAGGGCCTCGAGAAGAGGGCAGAGGGAGCCAAGGCAATATGCAAGCGGGGATTGGCTACAGGCTAGGTGATTGGAGGGTGTGCGAAATCTTTCAACTCAGGCATTTGCCAGAGCAGGAGAACATGCTCCCTTTCAGGAAATTGCTAAGAGCTGTGCACCTTCAGTGATGGAGGGCAGTGCATTCTAACAGGCTTTTTCCTTCAGGCGGATGAGTCTGTTACATTCTTGGTCTGATGAGAAGCTCTGGAAGCTGGTAACCCTGGGGAAGGTGGAGAAGTTCTTGTATGGGCAGCTGATCTCAAAAGACATTGTCGAATCGTCCTCCGTCATGTTTGTCTGCAGGGTAAGAGGTCCGGGTTGGGGCTGTGAAGCTAGGAAGAGTGTGCCTGTGTCATATCCTATGGCCAGACAGATGGGGCTGAGCACCGTTCTGCCGCACCCGCAATTGGCAGTTGCTGCCTCATTGAGATTTAATTTATATCTTTTCTGATTACTAGTAAGATTAATCATGTTTGTTTACTATCGAAATGTTGTCTTTTGGGAATTGCTTTATGTTTATGTTTATGTTTCTCTTTGGTTAATAATGAAAAGAAAATCTAACATATATTGAGTACTTACTGTGTCCTAGGCTGCGGGCTTCACGTGCTTTATTTCATTTCAGCCTCACAGCAGCACAAGGGAGGTTGGTATTGTCATTAGATATATATTCCCATTTTCAGAGACACAGGAAGGTTAAGTGGCTTGTCCAAGGTCACACATTTGCTGGGGGGCAGAGGCAGGGTTCAAAGCTCTCTTCCTCAGGGGCTGGGATTTGGAATTTGAGTCCACCTTTCTGTCAATTGTTGATTTTGCTCAGATCCTAAGTAGTTAATCATTATTACCATCTTAAGAGCCACCATTTATTATGAGGCTTTTTGCTCTTGTGCCAGGGGTTCAACTAGCATCATTAATTTTTTTGTGTCTATTTTGGAATAGGTAATACATTCACATGGTTCAAAATTCAAAAGGTTCAAAAGAGTGGTAAGTCTCCTTTTCAGAAACTCTTTCCCCTGGCACCCAGTTTCTTACGTGTCTGGCCTGCAAATGCATGTGTATATATTTTTCCTTTTTTTCATAAATGGCATCAAATAACACAAACTGTTCTGCACTTTGCTGTTTCATTTAAGAATATTTCTATCGATTGCTTCATATTAGTACATACAGAACTCATTCGTTATTTTTTCCACCTGTGTAGTATTTTATGGTATGATTGCACTTAAATTTACTTAACCAGATTCCTACTGATGGATATTTAGGTTGTCTCAATCTTTTGTTATTTCCAACAGTGTTTTGATGAATAACCATGTACATACTATCGTTTCACTGTAAATATTCACCAAAACTCTATAAGGAAGATATTATTATCCTACGTTTACAGACAAGAAAGCTAAGACACCTTAAGAAAGGCCACCCAGCCCTGGCCAGTTTGTCTCAACGGTTAGAGCATTGGCCTGCATACCAAAGAGTCTCAGGTTCGATTCTGGTCAAGGGTATGTACCCTGGTTGTGGTTCGGTCCCCAGCCCTGGTTGGGGTCGTGCGGGAGGCAACCAGTCGATGTGTCAATCTCACACTGATGTCTCTTGCCAGCCCTTCCCTTCCTCCCTCCCACTCTACCTGAAGATAAATGGAAAAATATCCTTGGGTAAGGATTAAAAAAAAAAAGAAAAGAAAAGAAAAAAAAAGGCCACCCAGCTAGTAAGTGGCAGAGCCAGCATTCTGCCCCTGAAACTTTTAGTATTTCCAACATATCTATTATCTAAATGTTAAGCAACCACAGACATTTGTCAGGTTTTTGCCAAGGCCATGAGACACTGGTCCAGGCTCGGGAGCGTTACAAAGATGGAAAAGACTGGTTTTCTCACATCTCCTCCACTAGATTTTGAGCATAGACAAAGGAGTCAATGAAACCACCAAGTAATCAATACAAACCCTGTGAGTTATAAGAATTTAGGAGAGAGAAGTCTCTAAAGGCTGGAGGCTTTAAGGAAGGTTTTCTGGAGGAGGTGAGCCTTGACGTATCGGACCATTAGACAGAAGGAGGGGCAGAACTAGTTGTGTGCTGGAGCTGGCTCACAGTGGCCTTCAAGAGCTGATTAAGTTTTTAGGAATTCTGTGAATTGGTAAACACTATTCCCAATAACACTATAATTATAAAAAATTAAATTATATAAACCTATAATTAAGTGTTTTATATTGAAAACAATGCTCTCAATGCTGAACACTCATCATTTTCTAATGATGTTACTGCATTTTAGTATTATCTATGCTCTTGAGGTTACTTATGTCTATTGCAGCTGTATGGCAGAAATATTATATAGTTGTGCACATTTCTTCTCAACTCCACACTCACTGATTTTACTCACATTGGTAGCTTAGAACTGGCCACCGTGGGAGTATTTACACAATGGAAATTGGCAGACAGTTTAAGTCAGTTCTTGATTTATAGCTTGGCTGATTGTCCTAAGAAAACTATAGAGAAAATGTTTATAATGCAGGTTATATTTAATAGTGGGTAGGGTCTGTAACCATTACACTGTAAAGAGAAGAAAACTGAGAAAATATTCTTCTAGTATTGAAAAAGCATTATCTGATTCATCACAGAAATTAGTCATATCATCAATCAATGAACAGTGAAGTTCTGATACACACAGTGATAAAGCTTTTCAATTTAATGAATATAATTTGTAAGAGAGTGAGAAATAGTTTACCAGTAGATTAGAAATTGGATTTAATAATATTAAAGTGATTGGGAAGAGTGGATTGGGATACAAATTCATTTGTCAAATCATGGTTGAAGTGTCACTGTAAATCGATTGGCCATGGACACAAGAGTTCAGCCAAAGTCAACAAAAACATTCTGCGGAAATCGATTGGCAATATGGAACTTTTAAGAAGAGTATGGTATATTTTGTTATTTATAAATTGTATATAACACACCCTTTATAACAGTAAAATATATAGACTTGTGTACATTTTCCTAGAGAGCTAGTTGTTAAACCTAGCAGCACCTAGGATGTGTTTGTGTTATTATCCTGGGTCCAGTTCTAGAGAACACAGTCAAGTCTAGCTAACATAAGCAGAAAGAGATTTATTGCAGGATATTGAATGGCTGACAGATTTACAGGGGGAGGGGAGAGTTGAAGAAACATACTGAGACTGAAAATGATTCCCCAGCAACTCCAGCTCAAAGTCATATTTGGCTGCCACAGGGGCTGCTGCTCCCGCCACGTTCAGGAAGCCACTCACTTCTACAGCCACCGCCTCCACCAACAACACGGATGTCTGGCAGTTCCAAAACTAAGCCCACCCAAGTGCATCAGATTGGTGGAACCTAAATCACACCAGACCCTGAGCTGCAAGGAAGCTTAGGGAATATAGTGTTTGGCTTCCAGCCTCTACACACAAAAGGGGATTGGATGTACAGGAACCGACCCAGTTCAGGGTGGGGATGAAGGTGAGGTCTTTGCCACCTGAGGGGACTAGTGGGAAGCCAAGCTTACAGCAGGGATGTACCTGAGGTTTATACAGGTTTGGAGAATCCTGATGGTCATGTGAGAAGCGATGGGAGAGAGCCTAGGAGAACTGGCAGTGGAGAATATTGAAGACAATCTGAATCACTTACAATTCCTTCTCCTCCCTGATATCTGCTTCGTCTTTCCTAAAATTGTTTTTCCTAAAAATTTCCCTAAAAGATTGGGAAGGAGGAGTAGTGAGGGATGTAAAGTTCAAGACTCCCCCTTTTTTTGGTTAATCCTCACCCAAGGATATTTTTTCCATTAATTTTTAGAGAGAGAGAAAGGGAGGGGGGGCGGGAAGAGAAACATCGATGTGAGAGGGATACATTGATTGGTTGCCTCCTGCACGTGCCTCGAATAGGGATTGAACCTGCAACCTAGATACGTAAGCTTGATTGGGAATCAAACCCATGACACTTCGGTGCGTGGGCTGATTCTCTAACCACTCAGTCACATGGCCAGGGCAAGACTTTCTTAATCAGTAAGATGATTACATGCTGACCAGCAGAAAGTGGGGGATGGTTCTTAATCTGTTTTGGCCTTCATTTCTTCATCTGTAAAATGGGACTAATTTACCTCACAAAGTCTGTAAGGATGAGAGTTTAGCACATACTTACTGAATTAACATTCATCTCTAATCCAGCGGTTCTCAGTGTGTTGCTACTGGATCGGAGGCATCAGAATCACCTGGGAACTCATTAAAAGTGCAAATTCTCAGGCCCACCCAAGAGCTATTAAATCCCAAACTCTGGGAGGTAGGGGGCTCAGTAATCTGTGTTTTCACAAGCCTTTCAGGTGATTCTAATGTACACTAAAGTCGGAGAACCTGTGATTTAAGGGAGGCATTTTCAAATTTTGGTAAGCATGAAAGAACACCTAAGATGCTTCTTAAAAAGACAGATAGATTCCTGCCTCACCACAGAGATTGATTCACTGACTCTGGAAAACTGCATTCTGAATAAGCGAGTGTCACAGGTGCGTCTAATGCACGGGTGCTTGAACTTCGTTCTGAGAAAAATAATACAGACTTCACAAATTCTTCCTGGCCAGCAGATAAGTTTGGTTTGCCCCTTACAGTGTTTTATTAAAAGCTGATTTAATCAGTAAGATGAAGTTTGTATGTAAAAATTCTGATTTCTGGCTTCTTTTGAATATTCAGAAGATCAGGCAACACTAGGCTGTATTCTGGTGTGGCCCTCTGGCTGGAGTTCAGAGCACCTGTCCCTCTAAAGGGTCTACTCTTCTCATTTTTATTTCCCGTCTAGCCAGCTCCAGCTCCTTGAGTGTTTATCTGCTAATGAGACTAGGCTGTCCTGACTCCTGTAGTTTACCCATATTGCCACTAGAGGGCAAATCAGCAGCTGGTGGCTTGGCATCCTTGAGACCCAAGAAAGAACCTGATTTCCTGTTGACATTACAAACATAATTAATGCCCATAATCAACTCATTTTGAACAGTTTATCATTTGGGGACACATGGTGAAATTGTTTTCTCCACAGATATAGATGTGATTAAATACCCATGAGAGGCTTTCTAAAAAGAAATTGTTGGAGTGTTTTTCTCTAGCACCTGCAGTTCCTGGTTGATAAATGTTTGTTGAATGAATATTGAATAAAGCTCCATGCACAATGCCTGGCATATAAAAAGGCTTATTAAATGTTTGCTACCTTCTTCTTCCTCCTCTTTAACAGTAATCTGTCTTGAACCTTAACCCTTCATAATGTGCCTCTTAGAGTTTCTACTAAAAAAGGGTAAGATTTTATAAAGACGTGAAATTTTAAAATGAGA